CCATCCTTTTTTTAGCCTAAGTTTGAAACTAAATAGGTGTAGGGAGGCCACAATGGAAATAAAGTGGTTAGAAGGGCCAGGTATTTGTGGAAGTAAGCTAGTCTGCACTCCTGAGACTTAAAAATTTAGGTAGAGTGAGCTGCCCTATAATGAAAACGATAGGTAAAGAGAGGCATTGATTAGTTCTTGGCATATAGCTGCAAGCAAAGCCATCCCATCCTGGGAGTTGAGCAGTGGTGGCATTGCGGCTGTCATTTGTACTCTGTTCAGATATTGCTTTGATGCAGTGGTAGATGTAAGATTTTTTGTTTTGAGGCTATGACACTTGCATAATAAAGTTTAGGAACACAACAGGGTGCAATTAGGTCGATGCTGATGAAGGGACAATTTAGGTGGGGGCTCAAGACGCCTTTAAAAACTAATGAATAGATAGATGTAATAGGGAACATCTTGAGACAGGAAAGTAGAGACCTCGGAAAGGAAGACGGATCTCTGCAAAATGTAGGTGATATTTCCAGGGTTCCTGCCAGAGATCTGACCCTAGGTCTCATGAAAACGGGGATGGAAACAGTTCACTGGCAGGAGTGGAGAGGGTGATAGGGCATGCGGCTCATGCCTGTGAAGGCCCAAACCCCAGCGGGTACAGCAAAGACCAGCCATAACAGGTATCACATAATGGTTCTGCCGCTTGCTGTCTTGCATGATTTTGAGAAATGACTCCACCTCTGCTTTCTCAGATGGAAAATAACCATAGTAATACCGTTCTCATTGGGTTTACTGTAAGGGTTAGATGAGCTGTATCTGTTTCTAAGAGTTGGCAAATTTCAGTGAGGGGAGATGGAAATGGGGTCTCGTCGAGACAGACCGCAAGGTGGCGCCATACTACAACAAATGAACAGTTAACAGTGACTGCCTAGAAGTGGTTTTACATCATAGAAGCCACTCGTAAGTCTGCAATAGTTGGGTTTTTTTCCCCCTCTGCTTTAAAAAAGTGCTACAGTGTGCTTGGTATTCTGTTAAATGTTTCAACATAGCAGGTTGTAACAGGTAAGCACCAGTCTTTGAATATTTCTATTAGAATTTTAGAGGTGTGAAGTATTTTAACCTGGTCATGACTTTTTGTTGGTTTTTCCTTCAGGAGAGGGTGGGTACACGGGTGGGATAGTGCTGGTGATTGTTGACAGACCCACATGTGACACTGTCCGCAGCTTTTAGACTTCCCCATTCTGGAAACATTAAATATTCCCAAGGAAGAGTGAGTTTACCACTTTGGCTTTCTTTGTCCCCAGCACATTGTCCAGAGACTTGTCCCAGCTCCTAGGAGACAAACCCTGCAGGGATTTGTCTGGCCTTGTCTAGAGAAGGCATCCTTTCATACAGTACTTCCCAACCCTGGCTGTGCCTTAGTCATATGAGACACTTTTAAACAATTTACTACAGTGGCCAGGACTCACCCCAGAGATTCTGATCAAGTAGGTATGTTTTTAAGCCCTCAAGTGACAGCCAGGGTCTGCCACTGCCTTGCTGAGGCTGCTGTGACATGTCAGCTTCAGGAGCTCCTAAGGGCTGCACACCAGCTGAGAGGGGAGGTGTGAGCCACAGTGGCTGGTGTGGAAAGGAGGGCTCCCTGCTGAGTCCCTGAGAGGCCTTCCTGTTCCTCACCGGCTCACCTGTGTAGATCAGCAGTCCCCTGGACAAGCTGCTGGAAAGGTCTTGCTGGGTGCAGATGGCTCAGCAGGTTTTGGTATTCCCAGCTGCAGCCATAGCCCTGAGGGAGAGCATTTGCAGCTCCCTCTTCAAGTGTCATGTGCAGGCCTTCCCCCCTGCTCCACCCACTCCTCTCTGATGACCCCAGCTCCGCAGGGGCCTCCCCTGCACCAGGTTCAAAGTCAGTCTGGGTGGCTCTGCCCACTTCCCAGGAGGCAGATCCTCGTCATCTGGACTGTTTTGCCCACCCTTCCCTCCCTTTAAGGCACTATACAGCTCACAGTTGTGGCTCTAATCTCTTCCTAGAAGGATGACAAGTCCTTATAACTTTCCAGTCGTTTGGACATTGAGTGGTGTTCAGGAGGCTTTGGCAAGGATAAGCAGCCATAGCCACCTGTGTCACTGAGCTGGAGAAGGGACGGGAGGGGGTGATGTGAAGAGCACAGGCAGTGCCCATCCCAGAGGTTCTAGGGGAAAGGACGGGCTGCGGCTGCATTATGCTGCCGGTTTTCATGTAGTGCCCACCGAGGGCATGGGCTGTAAAGGGGACCCTGCGAAATTGCTGCAGGCCCATTTTCCTCAGCAACAGGCAATGGCTGCGTCAGAGACCAAAACCTTCACCAGGGCCTATGGGTCACGTATGAGCTAGCATTGGCCTAAATGCCAGCCTCTTCCTCCCCCCCCCCCTTAAATAAAGGACTTATTTTAAAGTGAGGTTTTCTGAAGTGCAATTTGCATACAGTGAAATTTACCCTTTTTGGTGCACAGTTCTATGAATTTTGACAAACGTATTACAGTTGTGTGAGCCCCACTGCAATGGAGCGAGCATTTCCATCTCCCGGCAAAGTTCCCTCCGGCGCCAGCCCCTGGCCACCAGCCACTGATCTCATCTGTGCTCTGTCCTGCAGTTCCCCAACCTCCTCCTCCCGTCCCTCCCCTCACTCTGGTTTCCGCACTTGCTGGATTCCCCTTCTCACCGTCCCCTGCTCTCTGATCTCACAGGGTCCTGTTCCCTCTGCTCAGAATCTACCCCCAGGACATCCCCGTTAATGCCCCATCATCCTTCAGCTCCGATCTCACAGTCGTTCTTAGGGAAACGTCCCCCACCCCTCACCTACCAGCACAGGACTCTTCAAACTGAACGGAGTTTGTAATTAACCACTAGGTTTGTGGAATTTTAAAAGTTGGCCTGGGGCTGGCCCGTGGCTCACTCGGGAGAGTGCGGTGCTGATAACACCAAGGCCCCGGGTTCGGATCCTATATAGGGATGGCCGGTTGCTCACTGGGTGAGCGTGGTGCTGACAACACCAAGGTCAAGGGTTAAGATCCCCTTACCGGTCATCTTTAAAAAAAAAAAAAAAAAAGTCGGCCTCACCTCGCTTGCTAGACTCTAGACACCATGCAGACAGGAACCTCTATGTTTTATTCATCACTGTGTCTCCTAGATCAAGAAGGTGCTCAATAAAATTTGTTGAGTTCGTGAGGAACCCCCGCGAGGGAAGAACAAGGGGTCACCAGCCTCCTGCGCCCCCTCCGCGTCGCAGCTTTGGGCAGCCAGGCTCCGGGAACCGTGTGACATCGCGATGACCTGGAGGAGAGGCCCCGACCGGCAGGACAGGACGGGACAGGAATCCCTTTTCTGGCCCCAGGTCTTTGATGGAGCATGGGGTGTCTGTGGCCCGCCCCCTCCAGCAGCCACGCGTGTCTGCGGACGTTTCTACCCAATCCCTCCTTCCCTCCCGGGTCGCCTTTCCCACGACGTCTCTGCCCGCGTCGCTGCGCACCCCTCAGACCGAGCTGTGTGCGGCTGCAGGACGGGCGGCCTCTTCTGGCTGGGACCGGCTGCAGCCGCCCTGCTCTGCTTCCTGCGGAGCACGCTCCAGCCCGGCACGTGCTCGACGCCTTCACGTGCGTGCCTCGGTCCTCGCCCGCCAAGCAGCGCGCACGGGGGCGCGGGGTTTCGTGCGCTTTGGTCCACTGATGCAGCAGTGCCTGGCGCTTAGTAGGTCCTCAGTGAACGTGCTGGTGAATGCTCTTCCGTCTCCCCGGATGGGCGTCCGCCGTTCCTGGTGCTCCCGTCGCTCTCCTACCTTTCCCTCTACGCAGTTCGAAGGTCCCTTCCTCCAGGAAGCCCTCTGTGTCCCGCCTGCCAGAAGGAATCAAGCAGCTTCTCTCGGCCGCAAGACGCCTCATCCTCAGGCGCCGCCTTCCGGACGACACCAGCTAGTTGTTGGGGCAGACGGGCTGGGCGCTCCCGCGGGCGGGGACCGCTTCTCTGAGTCCACATGGTTCACACAGTAGGTGCTCAATAAATGATTGGGGTGAATTTAGAATGAGTGGCTGAATACTGCCCCCTTCCTTCCCCAATGCGTCAGTTTACTCGCCCTCCAATGAGCCCTTGGGACGGCCAGCCTCGCCTCTTAGGCCCTCAGTGCTAGCTGCACTCAGTGACAGTCTACAGCCATGATCTGATAACGAGTGATTGATAAGGAGCCCGGGAACCTAGAGACCGAAACAGACGTGGGAGAGCTCTGGGGGCTTTTTCATTTCCCTCCCCCCTCTTGGCTCCTTGGGCTGGGACTTGTCCCGCAGCTCCAGGGCACGCTCGGGGCGGGGGCGGG